GAATCCTGCCTCTCCCAGCTGGGCACCTGCTGCAGGATGCTGCAGCCTGGCCCAGGATGCTGCACCCTGGGGTGCAGGTCCCAGCAGGTTCATGGGGTGGGGGCCGTGGTGGGGCGGTGAAGGGGCAGGGGAAGATATGCAGACCATGCTCCCGAGGCGGCAGAGCATCTGTTGCCTCCTGGACAGTCCTGCGAGCCCTTGCCTGGCTGTGCAGTCCTGGGGTCAGCCACGCTCTGTGGATTACAGATGGGGAAACTGAGGCACGGCACTGTGGCTTGCACCAGGTCCTGCAGCGAGAGGCCAGGCCAGAGTGGGGGGGGGGTCACGATGTGCTGTGCCCTGCAGCTTTCTGTCCTGGAGCTATCGTGAGTGCTCTTCCCGGTCAGGGAGGATGCTGGGCAGCCCTGCCTGTACCCGGGTGGGTGGGCAGGAGCCAGGTGCTGCCTGCCCGCGGCTGGCCCCGCACGCAGGCTTCGTCCTGGGCTGGGAGCCCTGAGCTGCCGCCGGCCTCTGCGGGAGCCCCTGGCTCGTCCCTTCCGTACACGTCAGCCTCCGCTTGCCGTGCCGGGCTCCGTTCTCCGCCGGGGAAAGACGAGCGGCAGCGGCCGCAGCATCGTCCCAGCTCACAGAGCGGCCCAGCGGCAGCGTGCCATGGCCGGCGAGGCGGCCGCAGGCACCCGGCAAACGTGAGTCAGCAAAGGCATGGCGGCCGGCAGAGCAGGCAGAGGCGGCGTGCTGCAGGGCTGGGACCCCACACCCGGGCCCCCCCCCACCCCAAGCTTTTTCCCATCCCTGTTAGGAACCGGCATTCAGGGCTGCGACCTGGGCTGGGTGGGCAACGCATTAGGCTGGGGGTGCAGGCAGGGCTCTGCCAGCTGCGGGGTGAGCGGCAGCAGCTCCATGGGGTGGGAGGGCAGCGCGTGCCCCGCTGCACCCCGCTGCGTCCCACTGCGTCCCACTGCACCCCGCTGCGTCCAGCATCCCCGGTCTCCCTCCGTTGCCATTCTGCTCCTGTTTGCCGGAGATGGATGTGGGGCTGGGGCAGGTGCCCCCGGGGCTGGAGCTGTGGCCTCGCTGCTGCCACCAAACCCCCGCCTGTCCCCACGCCGCAGGGCTGGCCGGGGTGAGGGGTCCGTGTTACCTGGCTTGCACTCAGCCATCGGCACAGGTGGGTCGCTGGCCCAGGCTGGCCCTGGGTGCTGGGGGCTGCCTGAGTGATGCAGCAGTTCCTGCTGGCCAGGCTGGAGGATGCACCGAGTTGGCCGTTCTCAGCCTGACCCCCAGTGGTGAGGCCAGCTCCGCACGAGCGGTTTTTTTTTGGGGGGGGGGAGTGCTGCAGAGCTGCAGCTGGAAGAGTCCCCTGGGACCCCCACAGCTGGGGTGGGGGGTTCGTGATGGTGCCAGGCAGGGCTGCGCAGTGGTCCCAGTCCTCCTACGGTGGTCACCCCCCCACACCTACCCTGGCCTGGTGCCTGTACTGGTGTGGTGTGCAGGGCTCAGCCGTGGGGTGCTGCTCCCCCTGCCCCACCAGCGCTGCCGCCATGCTGCTCCCTGCGCGGCGGTGCTCCAGCAGCTGCTGCTGCAGGTGCATTCGACCTGGTTTTGGGAGCATTTGGCCTCTGAAACGATGCCACATTTCCCATCGCCACACTGAATGCCTGTGCTGCCGTTATGGGGAAGGGCAGAGCTTGCTTGCCCGGGCAGCTGGACAGTGGCAGTGGGTCACGGTGGTGGTGGTGCCCCTGCCCCAGCGCGGCACCCTGCCCAGGCTGGGCTGGTCACAGCTCCCAGGTCACTGGTTGCGCAGATGGGGAAACTGAGGCAGGACCAGCCGGATCTCACTGGCCCATTGGTTTGGACAGTGGTTTGTTTGCAAAGCTCCAGTTCCCGAGCTGCGGCCCAGGGGCAGCTCAGCTGATGGTCCCTGTTGGAAAGGCTTCTGTCGCTGCGCTCTGCTCCCCGTCGACGTTCAAAAGGCTCTTTTCAGTGAGTCATTTTCTCTCTTGCTGTCCCACTATCCAGGGAAAATGGTGACATTCGCGGTACAAAGTGTGTTCACCATGGAAACCAACTGAAAGGAGGGGGAACGCCACCCCCTGCTCCTCCCAGATTCGGCTTTGCATCCACGAGCCTTAGAAGATGGCTCTTGATCTCCTTCGCAAGCGCCAGCAAAGAGTTTGCCGTGGCCCAGGCTATGCCAAAGCACATGGGGCCGGTGCATCCGCTCACCACCGTGCCGGGAGCCAGGGTGCTCTATGCCCGTGCTGGGCAGTGCCTGGGAGCAGCCATGCGCTGCCAGCTCCCGCCGGGGCGGCAAGACCTTTCCCCAGACCCTCTGTGCCCTTCAGGTGCTTTTCTCAAGGACACACGGGAGCTGGCAGCACGGCGTTGAGCCCCGGCGTGGGCGGCAGCAGAGGCACGGCGTGGTCGGGGCACGGGGCCGGTGATGGGGCAATATGCCGTGGTCCATGTGCAGGAGCCACGTGTGCACCATGAGCATCCCCGAGGGGCTCGGCATCGCGCTCGGTGGCCTGGGGAAGGACCTGGACGGGGGTTTGGTTTGGGGGGTACAGCTGAGCGGGGCCGTGGGTTAGGGCAGGGCACCCCAATGTCCCGCGGGGAAGGCACCGTGCTGGGCACCGCGGGGCTGCGTGCGGGTCCCCGGCGAGGCCGGTTCCGCTGGCAGCACCGTGGCCTTCCGGCTTCCTCCCACCACAATCGCCCCGGTTGTTCGGGCAGGCTCTGGGCAGAATAGTAATGTGGCAGCTGCAGCTGGCGGCAGGGGCCTGGCAGGGACGGGCAGCTGGGCCGCGATCGCCCCCGCCGCCACCGTGGTCCCTGCCGCCCCGAGGGGACACGGCGCAGGCTGGAGTGGGCTGAGCTGGTGCCTGGAGGGTGCGGTGCCCGGCCGGAGCAGCCATGTCCCCATCCCCGTGGCCTGTGGTCTGGAGCCGGTGCGGGGCTCGGGGACAGGAGCTGCGGTTTGCCCGGCGGTGCTTGCAGGTGGGACGGTTTGGGGCAGAGGCAGATCTGTCGGTGTCAGCAGGAGCTGGCCTGCTTTGTGCCGGGCTGGGGGCTCCCAGCAGCACTGGCAGGTCTCCGGCAGACCCTTCCCTTGGGGGATCTCATCTCCGAGCTCCACGGATGGGACAGGGCAGGAGCCAGCTCTGCCTGGGCACTGGGGACCGTTTTCCCATCCTCCCGGCTCCTGCAGGCACAGCATCCAGCCGGCCTCGGGATGCTGCCTCGACCAGGGCTGCTGCCGCTGTTGCCGTATCCACCGAAGGGCAAACCCCGGGGCCGCAGCTCGGCTGGGCAGGGGCGCGTGGGACCCCTGAGCCCGTGTAACCCCTCTCCACGGGGTGTCATTGCCACCCTGCATCCATGGGGACAGTACTCCTGTCCCGCTCCGTGCAGGCTGCCGGCAGGGTCCTGCCTCGGCTCTGGGGGTCCCTCCTGGGCTCCTCACCTGTCCTGGGCACAAGCTGAGCCAGCAAAGGGGGCACAGCAGTGCTGGGACCCCCGCTCCCCCTGAGTGCTCCCTGCCAAAGCCTCCCTGAGCCCCAATGTGCCCCTGCATCCTGTGACCCCCCACCCAGGCAGGACCCCCCCGACACAGCCTCATCCCTCCCTGGTCCCCCCCCGCTCCCTGCCCTGAGCCCATGCCCCTCCTGTCCCTACAGACGGCACCCCCCTTAGCGAGCTCTCCTGGTCCTCCTCGCTGGCCGTCGTGGCTGTTTCCTTCTCGGGGCTCTTCACCTTCATCTTCCTCATGTTGGCCTGCCTGTGCTGCAAGAAGGGGGACATCGGCTTCAAGGTGAGCTGGGGGCGCAGGGACACGGAGGGCAGGGGTATCCCTGGGCCAGGCTTGCCCAGGGACCCAGGGCAGCAGGGGGGCTTCTCCTGGGAGCCCCGCGAAGGACGGAGGCACCCGGAGGATCCCGGTGCAGGATCTCCCGCTCCTGCCAGGGCGAGCCCCAGCACCGGTGCAGGATGTGTTCCGGCTCAGGATAGCTTTGCTCAGGGGGAGCTCAGCCCCGCCCTGCCTGCCAGGGTGCTGCCAGGTCTCAGCATCACTGTGGGTCATATCCTGACCCAGCCAAGCTCCCTGCTCTGCAGAGCCTGGATCCGCAGGGCTCAGCATCTCTGCGGGATGTATCCTGACCCCATCCAGGCTCCCGGCTCTGTGCAGGGCCAGGCCACGGCATGGTTAAGGGCCGCAGCGGTCCCACCCGCACGCCCCCGGGGGTGGGAGGCACCCTGACCTCACAGGCACAGAATGTGCCGAGAAACGGTTTTTTTCTCTAATTGCTGGGATTTTTGTGGAGGCTTGCGGCGCCCGCGGCGGGAGGGGGTCAGGCGGAGGGGGGGACACGCCGGGCCATTGTGTAACCATCCCACACCGGCCGCAGCACCTCGCCGTGCCGGAGGGGAACAATGAGTCCCCCCGTGCCCCCGCACCGGTTATATAGGGGTGCACGGCCGGGGCCGGCCACTGCCCGTGTCCGGCGGGTCGTGGCACATGGCACACGGCGAGGCAGCACCATGAGGCAGGGCTGGGCAGGGCGAGATGCTCACCATCGCCTACCTGCTCACTCGTGCGGCTTTCGGGAGCCGAGGGCTGGCCAGACGGCGCAGCCAGGTAATGGGAGGGGGCGGTAGGGAGTGGGTGCCTGTCCAGGTGGTGGTGGTGGTGGTGGGTATCCGCTGTCAGGGTGCAGACCGGGTTGTGTGCTTGGGAGGGTGTGATTTTGGGGTCCCCGTGCCTGGGGGTGTGTGATGCGTGGGGCACGGGTGAGCCCGTCGGGGCGGCGGGCAGAGGGGCGCGCGGGGCAGGTTGCCGGCAGTGGGGAACCCGCAGGGTCAGTTGTCTCTGCTCGGTGTGTGCCCCCCCGCGTGCCCCCCGGCCCAGGAGTTTGAGAACGCCGAGGGGGACGACTACGTGACGGAGCTCTCGGCCCAGGGCTCGCCAGCCCCCCAGCATGGCCCCGAGGTCTACGTCCTGCCCCTCACCAAGGTCTCCCTGCCCATGGCCAAGCAGCCCGGGCGCTCAGGTAAGCCATGCAGGACCCCTGAGCACCGCGGTTGGGGGTCCCGCATCACCGCACGGCGGGGTGAGGTAGGGGCGGTGGGTCTCCCCTGCTAAGGAGGGACGGCTTCAGCAGAGCCCCGGCTCTGGCAGGAGCAGCTCCTGGGCAGGGGACAGGCAGCCGAGGTCCCCAGGGAATGCTGCCGCTGTCCCTCTGGGCAAGTGTCCCCGGTGGTCTGTCCCCAGCCATGTGCATGGCACCATCCTGGGGGAGCAGCGTGCACCCCGCTGGGGTGGGACAAGACCCGGGCACCCCAAACTGTGACACCCGTTAGCCCCGGTCCTGCGTAAACAAGCTCACGAGTGGGAGAGGAATGTGGGGGGTGCCTGGCCGCGGCCCCCTCCCGCCCAGCATCGCTCCCCAGCCTGGAGAATGGCAGCAGTGTGGCGGGGCCGGCGCGGTGCGAGGCGGCGCGGCACAGCCCAACAATGGCCCCATTGCTGCCCGCCCTTGGCATGGGTGTCTGAGGGGCAGGACCTGGGAAGGAGCTAAATGCCAGAGCTCCCACTGGGCTTGGCTTTGCTCTCTCTGGTCCCTGGGGAGGAGAAGGGGCAGGGAGCCAGCTCGCCACCACTGCCCCGTTTGGGGACACTGGTACCCCACGTTCCCCGGCAGGCGTGGCTGTGGAAGGATGCCAGGATGGGAGGATGCCCTGGCTGCAGGGTGCCTGGGGATGGCTGCTGTCGGGGATGCTCCGGAGCCCCCCAGGGCGATGCAGGGCCTGGCACCGGGCGGCACGGTGGGGATGCCAGGGTTCGGCCGGGACCGGCGGGTAACGCAGGCAGGCTGGGCGGGTGGGCAGGAGGGCGCGCAGGCAGCTGGATGTGCTCTGTTACAGTGCAGCTCCTCAAGTCGGCGGACCTGGGGCGGCAGAGCCTGCTCTACCTGAAGGAGATCGGGCACGGCTGGTTCGGCAAGGTGAGCGGCAGGGGCAGGGTCCCCCAGGGATACCCCGATGGGACGCTGGCCGAGGGGCCGGGGCTGCGTGAGACGGTGTTTGGAGTGAGGAGGGGGTGCGCGGTGAGGACGGAGGGGACGAGCCTGTCCCTTGCCCCAGGTGTTCCTGGGGGAGGTGAACTCGGGCATCAGCAGCACCCAGGTGGTGGTGAAGGAGCTGAAGGCGAGCGCCAGCGTGCAGGACCAGATGCAGTTCCTGGAGGAAGCACAGCCCTACAGGTACAGCCGGGGTCACTCCGCCGTGCTGCTGCTGCACCAGGCACAGCCGGGAGTGGGGATGCTGGTGGATGGCGCCTGGTCCCCTCCATGCCATTTTCGGCTGCCGAGCAGAGCTGTGGCTGCCCCATGGAGGTGCCCAGCCGAGCTCTCTGGGCAGCACGGCTCTGTCCCGGTCCCACTGTCCATCTGCCTGGGGCTCATTGCGGCAGAATGAGGGCTGTGCCGGGAGCCGCTGGCCACGGTGCGGGGGCAGCGGGCTGTGGTGAGGTCATGGGCAGAGTGGGGCCGAGGGGGAGGCACGGAGCTGCTCCCTGCCCCAGCAGAGCTGAACAAATGTCCCTTTGTGGCATGTCCTGGGGTGCTGGGACGTGCTGGTACCCGCTCCCAGCGCTCCCGGCAGTCCCTGCGCTGGCTCCCAGCGCAGCAGCAGAGGAGGCAGGGAGGTGGTTCCCCAGGGGCTGCCACTGTCCCCCCAGCCCCAGCCGGCTGTGATGCTGACATGCCCCCGTTGCTCTGCCCCACACAGGGCTCTCCAGCACACCAACCTCCTGCAGTGCCTGGCCCAGTGCGCCGAAGTCACCCCGTACCTGCTGGTGATGGAGTTCTGCCCGCTGGTGAGTCCCTTGCATCCCCCTGTGTCCCATCCCACTCCCTGTGGAGCTGCCGTGGGGCTGGGGAGCGAGGTCTGGTCGTGTGGTACCATGGAGGGGATGGCAGGGCTGCAGGCAGGGCTGCAGGCAGGGTGCGTGGCAGTGCTCTGCCTTGCTGGGCACGGCTGAGCCCCCAGTGACCCGAGCGCCGGGGAGGGTGACAGTGGCACTGCCCTGCAGGGTGACCTGAAGGGGTACCTGCGGAGCTGCCGGGGGGCCGAGGCCATGACCCCGGACCCGCTGACCCTGCAGAGGATGGCGTGCGAGGTGGCCTGCGGCGTCCTGCACCTGCACAGGAACAACTACATCCACAGGTAGGCTGGCCTGGTGCCCCGGGGTGGGGGTGGGGGGGATGCTGGGGAGGAATTGGGGGGGTTTGGATGTGTGGGGACCCCAGGATGCCAGCGTTCCTGCCCCACCGCTGCTCCTCCTGCCCAACAATATCCTGGTGCTGAGTGAGTTGCAGACAGAGACTCCAGCATCAGTGATTTTGTTGAGGAGGGGGGTGCACTGCCGTCGGGGGCCACCGGACCTTCCCCACCTGAGCCAGGATCTGCAGGTGGGTCCCCACCAGGGTGCCCAGTGCTGTGGTTGGGGGGATGTGGGTTTCCCAGCTGTGCCAGAGAAGGACTTTCCTATGGGCATCCCGGCCTCGGTGGGCCCTGCCGCACTGTGGGGGGAGGGGGAGTTTCGTGTGTGCCCCATCTGCGTGACCCCTCCAGGGCTGAAGCAGCCGCCCAGGAGCCCAGCCCCATGCCAGGGCTCACGTTGCCTGGGGACACCCGCTTTCTGCTTGGCTCAGCGCGTGATGGATGGACGGACAGACGGAGGCGCAGCTGGAGCCGCGCAGGCATTCCTGCTGTGCATTTGGTGGCTGGTTATCGGCACG